AATAATCCATGGCACCCTTTTAATGGGCTCCATAAGCGAAGCTAAGTTCCTAGCCTGTCTAGAAATATTTTTTTACTAAAAAATTGATGTCATAAACTTCAAACTTTACGTAAAGTGCAACTGCATTACAAACTAAATTACTTTGTGTCATTTTGCGAACTTACATAAAGTAAATCGAATAGAAAAAAAATAGAGCTAGTCTATATCTACAAATAATTAATTTCATTAAATAAAGAAGATCGAACTCGTTTAGCATGCATTTGAATACGTGAGATAAAAGCTAGCCCAAGACATTAAACTCACACTTAAATCTAAATAAAATAGAAATTTTTCCACTTACCAATCATTGCGTCTGTTTGACGCCTAATTTTTGAATATGATGAGTCCAATTATCTTAAGTTTAGAGCAAAAGGCCACTAACACACTATACTAACAGCTGCACTATAAATACTATTTATTCTGGTCCCTCTTTTATAATGTGTTATATTAAAAGATACGATCAAAGAACAGATAAAATCGTCCATATTGTAATCTTGATTATCTCGTTAATAATCATGTACTGCGGAAAATGGGCAAAATTACATGAAATGACACTTAGTTTTTTTATTTTATTTCGTTTTGATAGTAATTTACTAGATCCAATCAGCTTCGGTATTTGGTTATGTCAGCGACTGCCCTTTTGATAAATGTATGTTAGACATGAACACTGACCATACTCAAGTTAAGTATTATAAGACTCCGAAGATATACTAAAAACTTTTTATTCTAATAAGGCTTGTATTAAAAACGTTAAAATGTACACCGGTTTACGAAAACAAGACCTCAGAGAAGAACCGGCATGAAACTTTTTTTATTTATTGAATGTCATGTTTATAGAATACTATATATACATACATAAATAATAGAAAAGGGGAGTGGGCGGAGCCCGTGTAGCCACTAACATGTCACTAACACGTCATTTCACACGTATAAATGTCAACACAATCAATCGTTTCCAATTTTCGTGTCAAGCATCGCTGCATGCAAATTATTTTAAAAATGGCAAATTGTGCAATAATTACGTGTCGAAAGAACAGCGGGAAATGGAATTTAAATAAAGGAGACATATTCTACAACCAGTAAGTCGAAACTATTTATATTTTGTGAATATTAGAAACAAAAATAAAGAAACAGTAAGTATAATAAGTAAGTATTGACGGTCTATGCACGAGGATGATCTTACCAGTTCTACCTCTACTTCTACCAATTCTCACTCACATATTTAATTTTTCTCTATCGTCCTCATCTTTTCCTTCAGTTTGGAAACAAGCATATATAATTCCTCATCCCAAGGTTTCTAATCCTTCTTCTCTGTCCCACTTTCGTCCCATATTTACTTTACCCTTTCTTTCTAAAGTTCTGGAACACATCATTCATAGTCAACTCTCTTTCTTCTTTTCTTCTAACTCTTTGCTTCCCACGTATCAGTCGGGCTTTCGTCATGGAACAGCACTGTCACTGCTTTACTTAAAGTAACCGATGATATTCGTTGGGCCATGGACAACAAATCTCTCACACTTTTAGTTTTGCTTGACTTTAGCAGTGCTTTTACCTCAGTAGACTTTGATATTCTTCTCCGGATCCTGGAATCTATAAACGCTCAGACTGTGTCCGTCTTAATGACACTCCTTCCGATTAGTCTGATATCACTACGGGTGTACCTCAGGGTGGCGTTCTTTCTCCTCTTTTATTTTCCATATTTATTAACTCTATTACGAGTGTTATTACATATAATTACCATCTCTACGCGGATGACTTACAGCTATATCTTCATTTTCCGGTGGGTGATTCAAATAATGCAATTGCAGCCATGAATGCCGATCTGAGCCGCATCTGTGAATAGTCTGTATCCTTTGGGCTATTAGTTAATCCCACGAAATCTCAGGCTATCATAATAGGCAGCAGGCATTTGCGTAATAAATTAGAATTTACATTTATTTATTTATGTACAACTACCTCTTGTTTGTTTTAGTGGCGTTCCTATACCCTTTGCCAATACTGTCAAAAACTTAGGCGTCACATTTGATCACCATTTAACATGGTCCACGCATATTGCTGAGGTTAGTCGTAAGGTCCACTTTACTAAGCATTTGCTTAAATGTCTACAAAATTTTTTACCCCTAAAAGCTAAAATATTACTCGTGCTTACTTTTATCCTACCTGTCCTTGATTATGCGGATGCCTATTATTTGGATGCTACAGAGGAGCTCCTTAATAAACTTGATCGCTTGCAAAATCAGTGTATCCGTTTTATATTTCGGCTCAAGAAATTTGACCGTATATCTTAGTTTTGCAAGCAACTCAAGTGGCTCCCAATTCGACTTCGAAGGAACACTCGATTGTTATGTCTCCTCTATAACATCTTGCACAACTCTTCCTTTCCCACATACCTCAGAAGCCAATTTTCCTTCACCCATCTTCCGGATAAACCATGCAGATCCCTTGTTAAAACTCTTCTTGACTTTTCCGTCTATAATTCCGGTTTTTACTCCCAATCCTTTTCAGTTCACGCGGTAAGGTTATGGAACTCACTACTATCTAATATAAGAAATTCCGAAGCTTTATTGGTATTTAAGAAACGTTTTAGAGATAACTTCTTTACATCCTGTTGATTAATATATATTATTCTCAATTATTTTAATATATTAGTATTAGTTTATATATATCATATGTAACTATCGTATTTATTATTCCTATCTACTGATTTATTTTATTTTTATTTATTGTTTTATTTTATATAATTTTCGTAATATTTTGTATATTATTTATTCGTTAGTAGTAGTAATGTATGCACTAAGTTTTCCATTTAAATATAATTTCCTTTATGGATCTATTGGAAGAAATTTCAGCAAATTATGGAATAAGTAGAACCTTTGTACAAACTTACGATAAGACTGCTTCTGTATCTTGATATGTATACATAATTAAACTAAAAAAAAACATTTATGTGTCAAAAACATTAATCAAAAGTTTGTGTTTGGAGTAGTGATAATACGACGTAATTGCTTCTATGAACCCGCTCTTATTTATGGTATGAACTGCTCACGTGCTCTTGTGCTTGTGCTCCCGGCGACGCCAATCCTCCTATAAAGTAAGGTTGACAGCCATTCTACTGTGTATTATAGTATTATATGGTCATGTTACAATATTGTTTACAATATTGTTGAGTCAATCAGTATAACATCGTAAATGTATTTTTATATTTTTTAAATAGTAAGTACAACAATATATCAGTAGACTTGCAGGTTTTTTGTGCTCATTATGCCATATTCCAGTACTTGACTGCAATAGCCACCAATCACGTGCAGATGAACACACATCAATATCCTCAGTATACGGACGTATTTTATAGTAGGTCCCTTTTAACAGAATTTTGTTAACAAGTAAATTTTTAAATTTTTGTCAGTATATCAGTATTTTTCGGGGATTTCACAAAATTTTTTATATATCTACTCGCCAAAGATTTTCTAGTTTTTACCGGATCTATTTTAGGAATCTCTGGCGTGTCACCTCGACGAACATAATCAGCCTCATTTCACAGAATACAGTTTGGTTTTATCCAATATATTTACATAACTTTTATATATATATATATATATTTATTGACACGATAACTATTGAACGGATGAACCGATTTTGATGTCACCAACTACATCAACAATCGGCGAGGTATTTAAAGAACAATAATAAATTCTACTATAAAAAGCGATTAGACTATACATTCAAAAGTTATGTAAAGAAACACTCTTTAAAAAAAATCCGTCATTGATTTCTCTTCAACGCATTAATCGATTTTAAAGCGGTTCGCAGCAATTGATGTCGTTGTCCATGTGATAAGATTTAAATTGATAGTTACATCTGCTTAAAAATTATTCCAAAAAATATTTTTCCAGTTTTACAACCATAATTTATAGACCGAAATTTAGACTGGAAATTACATATAGATGACCTATGTCAAAGAGTTAATCGTTTTGTGTATGCTCTACGTACTCGTACAATAAAAAATGTAACTAATAAAAAACAGCCTTAATATCCTTTCGGGCGTATATTGAATCTATATTCCGATATGGTATAATAATGTGGGGTAATAGCACAGATTAGCACAGATAGCGCAGGGCATTTATCGTACAAAAGAATGATGATATGTGGTGTCTCAACTAGAGAATCCCGTAAGCTAATATTCAAAAATCTGTCTTTACCAACTCTGCCCTTGTTATAGATATATTTTTGATAGGTAAATTTGTAAAACAGCATACATATTTATTTAAAAATTCATCTGATTGTAATCCTAAGCTTTATAATAATAATAATAAGGCGTAGGGAATAATAATAATAGTAATAAGTAGGCGTCGTGAAGTGACGACCCCATCGCCCGCTGACGTAACAGTTAAGTGACAAAACTGTTACGTCGGTGCAGTCAGTCAGCGCCTTGCCAAGAGGTATGAGCGCCGTGCCTCAGCAATACTCAGAGTGCAAAGGCCCGTTTGTGCTTACGGCCGTACAACGATACAATGAAACGGTGCCGGGCCTCGTCTCCCGTTAATTGGCGCCCAAACATGGGTGATGGATTTTAATAGAAAGCGTATAGGGCCGCTGCCTGGGGGTCGCCGGGTCGCGTCTGGAGCTGGCGCTGGACGCGGCAGCATGCGGGCCGCCAGCCGAGTGCGAGGAGCTACAAGATCACTTAGCGGCCCCCCGCATCCATCATCCCCACCAGATGGGTGGATGTCGGCAGGGTCCTCTCAGACTCGGCAAGCGGCATCCGCCGCTGGTGGAGTGCGCCGTTTGCGTTGGACAAAAAATATGAACGCAAACGCATTGCGGACGTACTATAGGGCGAAAAGGGAAGAAACCGTAGGGATAGCGTATCGGTCTCGGATGCATTGCTTTTTTGCTTTTTTGAGCTGGAGCCATCTATTCCTGTCACGGAACAAAACCTGACAGACCGAGTTCGGTACATCATGCGCTCGAAAATATTTGATGATGCCGAGCTCGAACGATTACGACGTGAGGCCATTCCCTCATCGAATGAATTGGCTATGGCTGCGGATGCGGCTCCTCAGGTGATAGACCAGCATCCACGCGTGGAGGCCGCCACGGATCTTCCAGTTATGGTTGATTCGGACGATGATGAAATGGTTTCTTACGAACTAGTGCAAATGAGAAGTATATTGGAAGAGGCGATTTTGGAAACGCGCAGAGACCCTCTAGGGTGTAGGGTCTGTGGTATTTTGGAAGGGATTTGCGAGGCGGTGGCAGTTTGCCGTATTAATGTCGCCAAACTTCCCATGGTTGGTCGCGCTACTAAACAAAGTAGTGCCATCCCAGCCTGGAGAAAAAGAATTGAGGACCTTATCGCAAAGGCAAGGGCCCTTATCAGCCGACTGACAAGCTTCAGGTCGGGTAATAATAGACCGAGGGTTGTGCGCACCGTTAGAATGGCGTTTGCTGGGACAAATATCGGTTTGTCCCAGCCGGATATCACGCAGAAACTAACGGAGCGCATAGACGACCTGAAGCTCAGTGCTTGGGGGAAGTGGATCCGGCGATTTACCGAGAGGTCAAGGCGATTCAACCAGAATCGTCTGTTCCAGAGTGATCAGAAGAGGCTCTATAATCATTGAGATCGAATCAGAGGCTCTATATTCATCTAGAATCATTGGAGTGACCAGAGGCATGTGGAGCGGGCCTAGGACCGGATCAGTCTAACACTGTCGCATTTTGGCGTGGCCTGTGGTCAGAGCCCGTAAATCACAGCGAGAGCCCATAATGGAAGTTTTAGCGAGCCAGAATGCGAATATTACGCCTATGGCCCCGTCACCATAACGCCGGAAGATGTGGATGAGGCGGTTCGTAGAGCCCCGAACTGGTAAAGTCCAGGGCTCGACGGGCTGCATCATTACTAGCTGAAGGGGTTCGTGGTGTGTCACGCTGTGTTCGCCCGACAGTTTCAAAAGGCTCTAGATCAGAATTCGCTCTCGAGCCTTTTCTCGAGCCGATTCCTAAAGATCAGGATACCACAGACGTCTACCCACCATATATAAGACACTGACATCAATTTTGAGCGCGAGAATCACTCGTCACCTGGAGCTAAATCAGGTGATGTCACGCGCTCAAAATGGATGTCGGGGCAGTGGTCGTGGAACCAAGGAACCACTCCTCATTGACGCGGACATTGGCAAAGTGGTAAAACGCAACCGTCGAAACTTCTCCGCCGCCTGGATAGACTACAGAAAGGCATTCGACTCGGTGCCCCATACATGGCTAAAGAGAGTCCTTGAGCTGTACAAGAAATAATGTACAGTTAGAGACTTCCTCGAGCAGTGTATGGGGCATTGGAGTACGATCCTTTGTCTGGGCTTTATCTGGGCGAGCGGATGATGGCTGCGAAAAACCATATAATGATAAGAAGGGGTATCTTCCAGGGCGATTGTCTGAGTCCAATCTAGTTCTGCCTCTCTCTGAACCCTCTCAGTACCTTACTGGAGGGCTCCGGGAGGCAATTTCAGCTTCGGAAAGGAGGTACAAAAGTAACCCAACTTTGCTATATAGATGACCTCAAGTTATTCGCCTCCAGTCGCTCCCATCTTATGGAATTGCTAAACATCACTTATGAATTTAGCAATTCCATTGGAATGGAGCTGGGGACGGATAAGTGTGCGGTCCTCCATGTTGAAAGGGGAAGGGTTGCTAACTCTGAGGGCATAGACTTATCTATGCCCGTCAACTTAAGGACCCTTTCCGAAGCTGAAACATACCGATACCTGGGTATGTCACAGAATATCGGTATCGATGAGGCTGGATGAAACAGTCAGTTTGCGACATGTTATATGCACGCTTGACCAAAGTGCTTAGCAGCCTTTTGTCCGGTGTAAATAAGGCACACGCATATAACGGCTGGATCATGCCTGTCTTCACGTATACCTTTGGCATACTCAGGTGGACTCAGACTGAACTTAACGCCATGGATAGAAAAGTCCGCACTACCATGACGTCCCATAGGATGCATCATCCGAGATCGTCGGTAATGAGGCTGTACTTGCCACGAAAGCATGGTGGGCGTGGCTTTCTGAGCGCGCTCACCATGCATAATCGCGAAGTGTGCAGCCTCCGTGATTACTTACTGACGAGATAGGATGATCCATTCTATAATGACGTCATTTCTAGTGATAATGGGCTTACCCCTTTATCCTTGGCCAACGAGCAATGGCAGGATCCAGCAGTGCTTAGCATTTCCGACCGGGAGACCGTATGGAAGGGGAAGGAGCTTCACAGGAGGTACTACAGGGCTCTACATGAGCTCTTTGTAGATACAGTCGCCTCCCTCAACTGGCTACGTTTCGGTGACCTCTTCGGGGAAACCGAGGGTTTTGTCTGTGCGATACAGGATCAGGTTATTAAGACCAACAACTATCGGAGATACATCCTAAAGGATGGCACCGTCGACATATGTCGGACTTGTCGCCGTCCCGGTGAGTCACTTAGGCATGTCATCTCCGGTTGTTCGGCGCTTTCTAACTCTGAGTACTTGCACAGGCACAACCTAGTAGCCAAAATTCTACACCAAGAGCTCGCTCTGAAATACGGTCTCGTGGACCGGAAACTGCCGTATTACAAGTACTTGCTGGAAGCCGTGTTCGAAAATGACCGTGCCAGGCTCTACTGGGACCGGGATCAGTCAAGGATATTTTTGGTCGACGTTACCATTCCGTATGACTAGAACCTCGTGAAAGCGGAAACAAATAAGCGAACAAAATATCTGGACCTGGTTCACGAGGTGACCGACATGTGGGGTGGGCTGTCGACCGAAATTATACCTGTAGTCGTTTCTGCAAACGGGCTAATCCCAGTTAGCCTCTCCGGTCATCTGAGGCGACTGGGACTCAGTGACGCACTGCTCCGGGCTCAAATGCAAAAGCGGTGATCCTCGATACCGCCCGCATTGTCCGCCGGTTTATTTCCCTTTCCCCTTAACCCTCAGCCGTTTGGTTTCCCCAGCCGAGGGCTTCCATCTGGTTGGGCTTTTATTTATGTATGTATTTTTATGTATTTGTTTTATTTTATTGTTATTTATGTATATATCATTTTCGTTCGCAATTATATATTTACGGAACCCAACCATATGAGAAAACTATATAGATACCCCATAAAAATAATAATAATTTATTTGATACAGACAACAAAGATCCATTACAAAATTAAATTTAAAGATTACACCTGAAATATTAATATTTATTATTGGGTAATTAATCAAACTATTAAATATTTTTTTTTTTTTTTATTAAATAATAATTTAAAAATACTAATAATATTGTGTTTGGGGTTTTTTTTTTCCTAATTATTTAGGTATTAATGAAGTTGACCATCTATTAAAAATTTCACTAAATGCACAAATATTACAAATAATTTTAATGACATTATTCTGCAACCCAAAAAGGGAACTTCTAAATCGCGCAATACGGTGACGGATCAGCGCATCCAAACCAGCGACACGGGCCTCTGCGAACATCTGGGACGCACTTCAGTATCGTGGCTGACGAAACAAAACGCGGAACGAATCATTATACTGCACTTTCTGCGGTTTTTGGTGTAATTCGTCCACAGCTGAGGAGTGTAAAGTGGCTGACAGTAAGTTGAAAACAACGCTAGTTTGGAGGCATAAGAACACCTTTGAAAGCGACGAGCTATCATGTTGGAAAAAATCCGGATAGATTAGTTCTAAGGGAAGTTCCGAAGTCAGCTAAATATAGTAAATGTTGTTTATCAATGTGTGTACGAACGTATATACAACAAAATACCCGACGAAATTAAAACGCTACATAATATGAACTTATTTAAAAAAAAGATTGTAACATTGGTTAATTGAAAAAAATATTTATGATGACAAAAAACATGAACGCAAACGCATTGCGGGCGTACTATAGGGCGAAAGGGGAAGAAACCGCAGGGATAGCGTATCGGGCTCGGATGCATTGCTTTTTTGCTGAGCTGGAGCCATCTATTCCTGTCACGGAACAAAACCTGACAGACCGAGTTCGGTACATCATGCGCTCGAAAATATTTGATGATGCCGAGCTCGAACGACTACGCCGTGAGGCAATTTCCCCATCGAATGAATTGGCTATGGCTGGGGATGCGGCTCCTCAGGCGACAGACCAGCATCCACGTGTGGAAGCTGCCATGGATCTTCCAGTTGTGGTTGATTCAGACGATGATGAAATGGTCGCCCTCCAACTAGGGCAAATGAGGAGTATATTGGAAGAGGCGATTTTGGAAACGCGCAGCATGCCTCTCAATAATCGACCGCGACTTCCCCGAATACCTCTAAGCAAGCGAAATCGGGCTGTCGTGAGTCGGCAGACTGACAAGCTTCAGGTCGGGTAATAATAGACCGAGGGTTGCGCGCACCGTTAGAATGGCGTTTGCTGGGACATATATCGGTTTGTCCCAGCCGGATATCACGCAGAAACTAACGGAGCGTATAGACGACCTGAAGCAAAAGATCGCTGCTTGAAGGAAGCGGATCCGGCGATTTACCGAGAGGTCAAGGCGGTTCAACCAGAATCGTCTCTTCCAGAGTGATCAGAAAAGGCTCTATAAATCATTGGAGCGACCAGAGGTATGTGGAGCGGGCCCAGGACCGGATCAATCTAACCCTGTCGCATTTTGATGTGGCCTGTGGTTAGAGCCCGTAAACCACAACGAGAGCCCTTGGATGGAAGTTATGGTGAGCCAGAATGCGAATGTTACGCCTATGGCCCCGTCACCATAACGCCGGAAGACGTGGATGAGGCGGTTCGTAGGGCCCCCAACTGGAAAAGTCCGGGGCTCGACGGGCTGCATTATTACTGGCTGAAGGGGTTCGTAGTGTGTCACGCTGTGCTCACCCGACAGTTTCAAGAGGCTCTCGATCAGAAGTCGCTCCCGAGCCTCTTCACTACTGGGATCACTCTTGATTCCTCGAGGATACCACAGACCCGAGCAAATACCGCCCCATCACGTGTCTACTCACCATATATAAGACACTGACATCCATTTTGAGTGCGAGAATCACTCGTCACCTGGATCTAAATCAGGTGATGTCACGCGCTCAAAATGGATGTCGGGGCGGTGGTCGTGGAACCAAGGAACCACTCCTCATTGACGCGGACATTGGCAAAGTGGTGAAAAGTAACCGTCGGAACTTTTTCGCTGCCTGGCTACTACATGGCTAAAGAGAGTCCACGAGCTGTACAAGATAAACTGTACAGTTAGAGACTTCCTCGATCAGTGTATGGGGCAGTCAAGTACGATGATGGCTGCGGAGAACCACATAAGGATAAGAAGTGGTATCTTTCAGGGCGATTGTCTGAGTCCAATCTGGTTCTGCCTCTCTCTGAACCCTATCAGTTCCTTACTGGAGGGCTCCGGGTGGGGATTTCAGCTACGGAAAGGAGGTGCAAAAGTAACCCACCTTTTCTATATAGATGACCTCAAGTTATTCGCTTCCAGTCACTCCCATCTTACGGAATTGACATGAATAAACATCACTTATGAATTTAGCAATTCCATTGGAATGGAGCTGGGTACGGATAAATGTGCGCTCCTCCATGTTGAAAGGGGAAGGGTTGCTAACTCTGAGAGCATAGACTTATCTATTCCCGTCAACTTAAGGACACTTTCCGAAGTTGAAACATACCGATACCTGAGTATGTCACAGAACATCGGTATCGATGAGGCTGGTATGAAACAGTCAGTTTGCGACGTGTTTTATGCACGCTTGACTAAAGTGCTTAACAGCCTTTTGTCCGATGTGAATAATACACACGCATATAACGGTTGGGTCATGCCAGACCTCATGCATACTTTTGGCATACTCAGGTGGACTCAGACTGAAATTAACGCCCTAGATAGAAAATTCCGCAATACCATGACGTCCCATAGGGTGCATCATCCGAGATCGTCAGTAATGAGGCTGTACTTACCGCGAAAGCATGGTGGGCGTGGCTTTCTGAGTGCGTTCACCATTCATAATCGCGAAGTGTGCAGCCTCCGTCAGTACTTCCTGGCGAGATTGGATGATCCATTCTATAATAATGTCATTTCTAGTGATAAAGGGCTTACCCCTCTATCCTTAGCCAACGAGCAATGGCAGGACCCAGCAGTGCTTAGCATTTCCGACCGGGAGACCGTATTGAAGGAGAAGGAGCTCCACATGAGGTACTACAGGGCTCTACATAAGCCCTTTGTGGATACAGTCGACTACCTCAACTGGCTACGTTTCGGTGACCTCTTCGGGGAAACCGATCACGTTATTAAGACCAATAACTATCGGAGATACATCCTAAAAGATGGCGCCGTCGACATATGTCGGGCTTGTCATATCCGGTTGTTCGGCTTTTTCTAACTCTGTGTACTTGCACAGGCACAACCTAGTAGCCAAAATTCTACACCAGGAGCTCGCTCTGAAATACGGTCTCGTGGACCGGAAACTGCCGTATTACAATTACTTGCCGGAAACCGTGCTCGAAAATGACCGTGCCAGGCTCTACTGGGACCGGGCCATCATCACAGACAGGACTATTCTTGCGAACAAGCCTGATATTGTGCTGATGGACCGGGCACAGTCAAGGATGATTTTGGTCGACATTACCATTCCGTATGACGAGAACCTCGTGGAGCCGAAACAGATAAGCGAACAAAATATCTGGACCTGGTTCACGAGGTGACCGACATATGGGGTGGGCTGTCGACCGAAATTATACTTGTAGTCGTTTCTGCAAACGGGCTAATCCCAGTTAGCCTCTCGGGTTATCCGAGGCGACTAGGACTCCGTAACGGACTGCTCCGGGCTCAAATGCAGAAGGCGGTGCTCCTCGATACCCCCGCATTGTCCGCCAGTTTATTTCCCTTTCCCCCTAACCCTCGGCCGTTTGCTTTACCCTGCCGAGGGCTTCCATCTGGTTGGGCTTTTATTTATGTATGTATTTTTATATATTTGTTTTATTTTATTGTTATTTATGTATATTTATCATTTTCGTTTGCTATTATATATTTATGGAACCAAACCAGATGAGAAAACTATATAGATACCCCATAAAAATAATAATAATTTATTTGATACAGACAACAAAGATCCATTACAAAATTAAAGATTACACCTGAAATATTAATTCTTATTATTGGTTAATTAATCAAAATATTAAATATTATTATTTAGATATTTATAAAGTTGACCATCTATTAAACATTTCACTAAATGCACAAATATTACAAACAATTTTAATGACATTATTCTGCGACCCAAAAAGGGAACTTCTAAATCGCGCGATATGGTGACGGATCAGCGCATCCAAACCAGCGACACGGGCCTCTGCGAACATCTGGGTCGCACTACAGTATCGTGGCTGACGAAACAAAACGCGGAACGAATCATTATATTGCACCTTTAGCCTGCAGTATTCCTCTTTAGTGTAATTCGTCCACAGTTGAGGAGTGTAAAGTGGCTGACAGTAAGCTGAAAACAACGCTAGTTTGGAGGCATAAGAACACCTTTGAAAGCGTCGAGCTATCATGTTGGAAGAAATCCGAATAGATTAGTTCTAAGGGAAGTTCCGAAGTCAGCTAAATATAGTGAATGTTCTTTATATGTTTATGCAATGTGTGTACGAACGTATATACAACAAAATACCCGACGAAATTAAAACGCTATATAATATGAACTTATTTAAAAAAAGATTGTACCATTGGTTAATTGACAAAAATATTTATGATATTAATGAATTTCTGATATTGTAAAATACATTTCAACATTGTAAATAATAAAATTTAAATAAAAATGTTTAATTTGTTAATTTTTAATACTATATAGGTTATTTTGAAACAAATTTAATTTGCATGCTATATTATATTAAAATAGCAAAACATGCGGGCATAATAAAACTCCGAAACATTTTTATAATATTATGTTATATAAATATTGTGATCTAGACATTTTTCACCTCAAATATAATTGTTATAAAAAATATTGTAAAACTTCATTTATAATTTGTAGCTTCAGTATAGGTTGTATGTATTGTATTACTTTTAACTACTTAGCCCATACCCCATATCTTCCCGTGGGTATCGTAAGAGGCGACAGAGGGAGACAGGCAGGAGATAGGCAGCAGCATCTTCCTGATAACAATAGTGATATAATAAAAAACTGCGGTTGCCAACCAGCTCGCCAAGCGTGGCAACTATGGCAAATATCCCCCATGAACAACGACGCAAACAAACGGTCCACAGTCCCCGGCGGCTTCGCTATTCCTGGCTATGGTGACCATGGTAACGGCAGGGCAGGGGGTGCTAAGAATCTCCGGTGGAGGTTTGGTTGCCACCTACGACGACTCGACCTGGCAACATATAACGCACGCACCCTGAGGACTGTCGAGAAGATACTGGAGCTGGAAGAAGAGGTAGACAAGTTGCGCTGGCATATTATTGGATTATCCGAGGTCCGAAGAGAGGAAGAGGACACGGTAATCCTCGAGTCCGGCAACTTGTTCTATCACGGGGAGGGCGACCATCTGTCCCAAGGAGGTGTCGGATTTATCGTCCACAAGTCTCTCATCAACAGCGTTGTAAAGATTGGGAGTGTGTCGACGAGGATCACGTACTTGATACTCAGAAACACCAAACGGCATTCGCTGAAGGTCATACAGGTTTACGCTCCAACCTCGGCACATCCCGATGAGGAGGTGGAGGAAATGTATGAGGATATTTCCAGAGCCATTCATTCCTCCTAAACCCACTACACGGTATGATGGGAGACTTCAACGCAGAACTAGGCACAAGAGAAAACGGTGAGCTGAAGTTAGGGAAATTTGGAGTAGGGCAACGAAACCGAAGGGGCCAGCTGCTGACCGACTTTATGGATAAAGAGGGACTCTTTATGATAAACTCTTTCTTCTAGAAGCGGCCCCACAGGAAGTGGACCTGGTCGAGCCCCGACGGTTCGACAAAAAATGAGATTGACTTCATTTTGACGACCAGACGCCAACTGTTCAGTGATGTCTCAGCGATCGCAAGAGTAAAAACTGGCAGCGATCATCGAATGGTTAGAGGCACACTGAACTTAAACGTTAAGTTGGAGAGGTCTCGTCTAATGAAGTCAACGCTACGTCCCCCTCGTGTTCTAATCCATAAACCCGAAATCTTTTAGCTCGAGTTACGTAACCGCTTTCAGTGTCTAGAAGATTGCAATGCAGTGGACGATATGAATGCCAAGCTCGTGGAAACTTTCATGGTGGTGGAACATGCGGTCGGAGCTAAGTTTTGCAAGACCCGCCGCAGAAGAATAGAAAAACTCTCCGATCACACTCTTAATCTCATGGCTGTTAGACGGGAGATGAGGATGCGATCGTCAACAGATTTGACAGCATACAGGCATCTGAACAGACAGATCTCCATATGCATGCGGCTAGACTTACGCAACTTGAATACTGCTCGTATTAAGAAGCGATCGGGCGGAACCAGGGCTCCAAGTCTTTGCCAGAGATCTGTCTGCCGGAAAGAGCCAACTGTCAAAGCTAAAGACTGAATGTGGCAGCATCGTTTCCGGGACACCTAAGATTTTAAGTGAGATTGAGAGGTTCTATGGGCAGCTGTACACATCATCGTTGGAGCACACTCACTCACAAATGTGAGTAGCGATCCAAGAGCAAGTCTTATCCGACACTGTTCCGATGATATCCCGGACGTCAGTCTGAGCGAGATTAGAATGGCTCTCCAGCACCTTAAAACAGGCAGGGCCCCAGGCGAGGATGGAATTTAAGCGGAGCTTCTGAAACCGGGTGGAACATTGGTACTTGAAGTCCTTCATAAGCTCTTCAATTCCGTCCTCCATGGTGGCACTAATCCGGAGGCGTGGATTTCATTGAATATGAGCCTAAAATAGCAACTTAATGCTACCAGGTTTTTTACAATGACTGGAGAGTACCAGGGACCTTTTTACTTCTAACCAGTTATTCCATCTAAGTCCTCAATCGTGACAAGGCATCTGCATTTTGATTCTTAATGAGATCTTTTTCCATCTCTGCACAGAGAGAATGACTCACTGGCCCATGCCGCAAAGAAAAAAGCCGATTTGTTAGGCTCTCCCTTTTCGTCCAACTCCACTCTCCATGACGGGGGTAACAAACCGTTGACCACCCCGAAGTGTGAGTGCTCCATGCAGAATACGCGCTTTGCTCAACGCTCAGTTCGCAAAGCACTCCTTTCCCTTGACGGCAGCAAGTTGAATGGACCTGATGGAGTCCCTCCCGTTGTGCTCTCTCCGGAGTTCGCACCGGTTTTACTTCGTTCGCCGTTCTATACACTTCAGACCTGAACACAGCAGTGCAAGAACTTCTATTTGGCTATGGAAATGGATAAGATGTAAACAGATAGATATTCGCTTATTATAATAATATAAAACAACAATAAATATCTGAAAATAAATAAATTTATTGAACAAAACACATCCGGTCCAAATAAATTAAAAATAATAAATATTCTACACCGCAACGTTTTGGTATTCGTCAAGGTATTCTCCGATAACGTTATGATCAACCTTTTCCCATGGTATGAATAGCTTCAGCCCCGTGTTGAAGGAAGTTGCCTCTATGTTGCTCCGCTGGCAATTTGCGTAACAGATAAAGTCGCAAGTGGAGGTCTGGGTGTTGAAATGTAAACCTTCAGAGCATACAGTTAAGATAGGGTTTTCGCCGTCACACCTCCAGAACTTGTCGCAGTCCGTTTCGTGAGACCAAGGCAAAACGTTGCAGCCGTTTTTGCACTTGTTGTAATTTCCATTTTCACAAGCAGCGGCCTCAGGCCAGTCGCATACCTAAAATGAACACAAAGTTGTTTTAGATACTTAGTTAATAGACCAAAAACGAAGGGGGAAGGGAAGAGAAGACTATCGTCGGCAGTGGGACAGTATGAACTTATATAGTATTAACACGTTGACTGCGAAACGAGGCTTGAAACCCCTCGCCCGTGTCTCGTCTATCGTAATAACGGATTTTTGAGGCCATCCGTTGTTTTCGAACGATGTTCCCAAAGTAAGCAAAGCAATCTTTTGACTTTTTCGGACCAATGTAGAAATATCAATGATTTACCTCAACTGTTGGATTGAAGTGTAGGCCCTCGGGACACGAGCGTTCAACTTTTTCACCACGGACGCAATAGAAGAATTTAGTGCAGTCACTTTCGTGAGGCAAAAGTTTGTGGATATCAAAGTCAGCGGGGCAACCGTTTGGCAACAATCCAATGTCATCGCCGCCATCAACATCACCATCACCATCACCGTTGCCACCACCGCAATTGCCACCATCAGCGTTAGGGTCACAACCAGCGCTAGCAGGCAAGTCGCACACCTGTTATTAATGAATTTCAAAATATTAAATACTTATATACATACGAATCCTTTTGGTATTCTTCCTGGTTTTGCTAAAGACAACAAACATCCATGGTTAGTACTACATTAATGCTCAAAAACTAAGTGTTAGTATTTTGGAAACAATTATATTAAATTTAGAATTAAATTAAATCCAACTTAATCAAATTAATTCAAATCAAATCAGACAAAATAAGACTAAATTAAATTCTAATTTGTCATGTACCTAAGAGGCACCCCGTGCGGTCGACACCCAGAAGAACTACTATCCACTGTATAAGTCATCGTTCGCACGAAGTGCCTTACAATAGGCGCATGCGGATCATCTGCCACCGTTATCAGGATGCTGTTATCACTTCTCCGTGTCTTTGATATCAGCGACGCTAAATTTTTCCGAACTACGGCATGAAAACCGTCAGTTCGGGTCTGTGCAAACATGCCAGAGGCACTACAGTAGTGCCAACATCATCCTGAAAACGTTATTATACTGGACTCGCAGCTCCCAGGGTGTTTAGCGATTTTAGCCCGTGTACAGACCCTATCAATACGCTTTGAAGAAGGTTATTTTAACCTGGTCTGAACAGCGGGTAAATCTACGGGCCAGCATATTGCCACGTGTTGCCTAAAGCCCTACACTACCTCTCTATATCTAGATCATCTTGAAGGTCATCGGCAAGAATATACCCTAGGTATTTAAATTGATAAACTCGCTTCAGTTCCAATTTATTTAAGGTTATTGCAGGACTAGATTCGGGACACTTGCCGGCTACCCTAAAGATCATGTATTCACTTTTATTAATGTAGTATACAGACTTTCCGAACCAGTGGTAAATTAAACGTGAGATCTCAATGAGCGGAAATTATAATTTATAGTGAATAAAAAGTTTCTGTTTCTGCGCGCACATTATACTAGCCTGAAATAACAACATCTAACTCTTTATACTGGTAACGTGCAAAATCGTAACGCCTATGTGGAATTTCTGCTCGTTTGTCACACATACTTCTTTTAAAAAAAGCTTTTTTATATGGATGTTGAAGCCCACAGAAATTTATATTTATCCTCCGTTAAGAATCATCAAATGTAGTTGCGTTGTCAGCCCTGAAGACTAAGATGGAATCCCTCGTTGCCAGTAAAAAGTGTCTCCGGATCTCTACACTCACCATAAAAAATACAGCAGCATATTTTAGCTGCTATTTCACGCTGGTGTTCTGTAAGAGCGTGATACTGCCCCGGTCGAGTCAACCTATTCGTGCCACAACCATAATATAGCTGCAGCGTGGCTCTAGGATTTTTGAAATTTTGTTAGTATGTATTCATTTTTAGTATTTAACCACCAAATACCAAAAAATGTTATGTAAGATAGTCACCTGTAATTCTGCATTAAAATGCGTACCACATGGACAATCCCTCTCAACTAATTCTCCACGTAAGCAATGGTAGAACTTGGAGCAGTTCGTTTCATGCGGCAATAACTGGAAGACACTGAAGTTAGCTGGACAACCGTTGGGCAATGTAGCCTCGCAGTCACATTCAGGTGCTGATGTGGGGGTTGTAGTTGTAGTTGTGTATGTGTCTGTAGTAGTTGTTGGCTCTTCACTTGTTGTTGTTGTTGGCTCATCAGTGGTTGTTGTTGTTGTTGACTCTTCATTGGCTGTTGTTGTTGTTGGCTCTTCAGTAGTTAGTAGTTGTTGTTGTTGTTGGCTCTTCAGTGGTTGTTGTTGTTGTTGGCTCTTGAGTGGTTGTTGATGTTGTTGGCTCCTCAGTGGTTGTTGTTGTTGTTGGCTCTTCAGTGGTTGTTGTTGTTGTTGGCTCTTCAGTGTTTGTTGTTGTTGTTGTTGGCTCTTCAGTGGTTGTTGTTGTTGTTGGGCTCTTCAGTGGTTGTTGTTGTTGTTGTTGGCTCTTCAGTGGTTGTCGTTGGTGGCTCTTCAGTGGTTGTTGTTGTCGGCTCTTCAGTGATTGTTGTTGTTGTAGGTGCTGGCGTAGTAGTAGTTGTTGTTGTAGGTTCCTCTGTTATAGGTGCATCAGTACTTGTAGTCGGCGCTAGTGTAGTTGTTGTAGTTGGAGCGTTGCTTGTGGTAGTTTCTTCTGTTGTAGGCGGCGGTGACCCGGGTAGTGTACAATTTGCCAGTGTGGGATGGATACAAACCTATTGACAAATATCGATATTTGAAAATTAAGTTCAAAGTAAAATCTGACTTCAATCAACTAAAAGGAATAAAATAATTTCACATTCTAAAGTCGGTAGTAAGACATTGTATACAAGAATTAATTTATTAAATTAAAGACTTAATTTAAATTGTAAATTTAAATAAAGTCCACTCAAAAATATCACCGCCTCAATGTTGGCCAAATAGTTTCATCAAAAACTTCATCTTCCCTCCCTCCTTTCTTGAAGACCTTTGTATGAAAACTTGTATACAATTAACGAAGATATCGCGTAACGTACATATTAAAAACATACAGTCTTAAACTTCACCTTTTTGCAGTCGTCTAAAAACAACGTTCAACTTTAAAATCAAATTAGCTGGCTAGGCAGACGTGTTCTACCCTTTTCCAGTAAATATAAAATTTATTTATAGCTCTACCACAGTAATATTAACGCATATATGTTATTCCTGTGCACTCTTTCCAAAATAATCCATTTTGGATTTTGCAATATGATAGGAATTGGCAAAGGTAGCTGTTATTATTATTGGGGTATCTGTATAGTTTTCTCATCTAGTTGGGTTCTATAAATATATATTTATTAATTGAAATGAAAAGATAAATATACACAAATATCAATAAAATAAAATAAATACCAAAAATACATAAATAAATAAAGATCCAACCAGACGGAAGCCCTCGGTAGGGGCGACCAAATGGCCGAGGTTTAGGAGGAAAGGGAAAGAAAACTAAAGCATTTTATCGAGCACAGATCTTGCTAAGCCCAATTTTTCAAGGTTGCCACTAAGCTGTTTTGGTATAATACCTGTAGTTGAGAGGATAAGCGGAATTATAATTACCTCATTTTGTCGCCACATCTGCTTTACCTCTTCAGCAAGTGTTTGGTACTTTGAATTTTTTTCTGTGTTCTGTATTGTGGAATGTTGTGTGAGTTGGGAACACCTATGTCAATTATTTAAGCGGACTTATTTAAGTCCGCTTAACTTCTTTATCAATCAGCACAATATCTGGCCGGTTATGGGGAATTGATCGATCCGTCAAAATTGATCTATCCCAGTAAATCTGTACCTTATCATTTTCTAATACAGGACTCGGTTGGTATTTCCAATACGTATTAGTATTATTATTACTGGGGGGTATCAATACAGTTTTCTCATCTGGTTGGGTTCTATAAATATATAATTATAAATGAAAATGAAAAGATAAATATACATAAATATCAATAACATAAAATATATATAAAAATACATAAATAAATAAAAGCCCAACCAGATGGAAGCCCTCGACAGGGGAGACCAAACGGCCGAGGGTTAGGGGGAAAGGGAAAGAAACTGGCGGACGATGCAGGCGGTATCAAGGAGCACCGCCTTCTGCATTTGAGCCTGGACCGGTCCGCCACGTAGTCTCAGCCGCCTCAGATGATCCGAAAGGCTGACTGGGATTAAGCCGTTTGCAGAGACGACTACAGGAATAATTTCGGTCGGCAGACTACCCCACATGTCGGTCACCTCGTGAGCTAGAAATAACTTCCTTATATGTAGAAAGGATCATCCGATCTCACCAGGAAGTAATCACGGAGGCTGCACACTTCGCGATTATGCGTGGTGAGCATGTTTAAAAAGCCTACCTAGTAGTTGCTGCTTTTTTCTCGAAATATAGCCCTTCAGCAAAGTATAGCCATTCAGCAAGAAAACACAGCCAGCGTCTCGTTTGTTATAGCTAAAACTAACTTCTAAGGACTAAAAATAACAGATTAATTTAACAACTGTGTAGTGGCGGTGCGATATAAGAACATCCACTACCCCATATCATCCCGTGAGTGTAGTAAGCGGCACAGAGCGAAACAAACCATGAGATAGGCTGTAGCGTCTCCTAAAAACTACGGCTTTCAACCCGCTTACCAAGCGAGCCAAATATGATTTATATCTACCTATGAGGCAATCTATGGGAAAAGCTTATGTTAAGCAGAGGACTTTAATAGAATGTAACGGTAACAGAATTTCAACAAATAAAATTCTTCAACAGCTTAATAACGATTAAGACGTACTGTGTCGAAAGACCAAAGACTCGACTACAAAAGCTTTTACACGGAAATTTTTGTTTGAAGCATAATATTTAAACTTTTTTATGGGACTCAGGCAACTAAAATGCCGTTTAAATAGCTACATTCAACTTCATCCCCAATTTTTCCCATCCTTGGGGGTGGAATTTTTTATTCAAATATAAATGATATTAGCTTTGAAGTATAGGCTATTTTATTTGTTTCAATGTGAGAAGATTTAAAACAACATACAATAAATGGGAATAAACCATCGAATTCAGAACCTTTTTTGAATTTGGTAAAAAAGGGGGTATTGCCTTACTACTTACTTACTTCGTACAATACTTCGTACAATTTTCAACAAACTTACTTGAAGCTCGTAGGAGAACTCGGTCCCCGGCGCGCAGTCTCTTGCAGTTTCCCATTTGAAACCGTATTCACAGTAGTAAAACTTAGTGCAATCGTATTCATGGGGAAGGAGGTAATGTGCCGCGCTTGTAGGACATCGTTCATCACGCACTTGTCTCTCTTGCTTCTCGAAGTCGAGTTCTACGACCTTAGGAACATCCTCATCCCAGGGCATTCCCTGAGCTAAAGCCAGGAGCGCCAGGAAAAAGAACTTTTCTGGAAAGAACATACTTATTAGTTTATTAACTTTGTTGCTTACATTATAGAAATATGCTAACGTCCCACTTCTGGACACAAGCCTCCTTCGTACCAATTTTAAAACGAATCTATGATACGTTAAATGTCACGTGGTAACCTGCTTAACGTGAAATTAATATTTTCCAATAACGTGCATAGTTTTCGGTTTTCTATATAGATATTTATGGAACATACATTTTACAAATAAAACATATTTATACTTATAACCTCATACCTACAACATGTAATTAGAAGAAGAGCTTTAACTGCTATTGGAACAGTAAATACAGTCAAAGATTTAAATCATTTAAAGAGTAATTAAATTTGACATTGACAAACGTTTAATAATCGTCCATGGCACCTTTTTTATGGGCGCCATAAGCGAAGCTAAGTTTCTAGATAAACTAGAAATATTTTTTACCCAAAAATAGATGTCATAAACTTCAAACTTAACGTAGAGTGCGACTGCATTATAAACTAAATTACTTTGTGTCAGAGTGCCAACTTACAGGAAGTAACTTGAATAGAAAAAATAGAGCTAGTCTATATCTACAAATAATTAATTTCCTTAAATAAAGCAGATCGAAATTATTTACCATGAATTTGAATACGTGAGATAAAAGCTAGCCCAAGATACTTAAACTCACACTTGAATCTAAATAAAATTGAAATTTTTCCACTTACCAATCATTGCGTCTGTTTGACGCCTAATTTTTGAATATGATGAGTCCAATTATTATGTATATAGTTTAGAGCAAAAGGCCACTAACACACTACACTAACAGCTGCACTATAAATACTATTTATTCTGGTCCCTCTTTTATAATGTGTTATATTAAAAGATACGATCAAAGAACAGATAAAATCGTCCATATTGTAATCTTGATTATCTCATTAATAATCATGTACTGCGGAAAATGGGCAAAATTACATGAAATGACACTTAGTTTTTTTATTTTATTTCGTTTTGATAGTAATTTACTAGATCCAATCAGCTTCGGTATTTAGTTATGTCAGCGAGTGCCCGTTTGATAAATGTATGTGAGACATGAACACTGACCATACTCAAGACTCCGAAGTTATACTAAAAACTTTTTATTCTAGTAAGGCTTGTATTAAAAACGTTAAAATCTACACCGGTTTACGAAAACAAGACTTCAGAGAAGAAGCGGCATGAAACTTTTTTAATTTTTGAATGCCATGTTCATAGAATACTATAATACATAGGTACATAATAGAAAGGGGGAATGGGCGTTTTCGTGTCAAGCGTCGCTGCATGCAAATCCATACTAATATTATAAATGCGAAAGTGTGTTTGTTTGTTTGTTTGTTCTTCTTTCACGTCGCAACAGAGCGTCGGCATGGCATGATTTTTTGTATGGGGATAGTTCGGTGGCTGTAGAGTGACATCGGTTACTTTTTTCCGCAAAAAAACATGCCATTCCTGTGGGAAAATCGAATATGTTGCACAAGTTTGTCCTTCTTTCACGTCGCAACAGAGCGTCGGCATGGCATGAATTTTGGTATGGGGATAGTTTTCAGCGGAAAAACAAATCATTTCTGAGGGAAAATCGAATATGATGCAAAATTAAATTCAACTAGGTGGCGCCACCGTGATTCTACAAGACGGACGACGGTACGATGGACGAACACAGACGGTCGGAATATCTGGATTATTATGTCTTTTTACCAAAATTAAGATAAGAAATGTATGGATCTGTATTTTTCCATGCAGTACCGGGAAGAGAGCGATAAAAAACATAAAATTCACCAGCTGATTTTCTTCAAACATTTTGGTGCATTGTAATTCACAGAATAGGCGGTAACCCCGCAGACGATAATTAGCAATCCGTTGATGCTCTGCCTACCCCGCAATGGTTACAGGCGTGATGATAAGTATGGATCAGAAATATTATCACCACCTGTCACGCTTTCACCCTTTATTACTTAACTGTGGTAGAAACAGTTCTTAGTAAGCCTTAGTGATATTTATTGAACGGAAATGAATACAGTTCTTATATGTGGTAATGAATGAATCGGTATTACAATAAGAAAAATTGTGCAAAATTATAAGAAAAATATTTTTTCAGAGTTCTTATTAACTAACGTATACATAGTTTGAATTGATTCCGCTAGATGTCGTTACTAGGTTTTTAAAACGCGGTAACGAAATGTTTCCTGACATGTACTTAACTCCCGCCGTTGAGCCGCGCGTTAACTTATAGTGCATACGGTACCTATACGCTTAAATTATTTCTATTTCGTAGCTTATTCGACTACCTGCTTTCGATTTCGGTTGTTTGTTATTTGCTTTGTGATTTGGTTAAGGTTGAATGGATTTATATTGGCTTTCATTTTCGGATTTGTGTATTTTCTTGGTTCGGTTTTGTTGATTTAGTTGGTATTCCTTTATACATATTTAGACTCTGGCTTTGATTTTGGATTTGGTTTATTTAGTATCGTGAATTGGTTTTCGTTATTTTAGGTTGTTTAACAATATTTAAAAGGAATATTAATAGTAAAGATAGTGTATACGGTACCTATACACTTACTTCTTTTTTCGTTGGTTATATTTATATTGACTACTGATTTCGATTTCGGTTTTCTGCGATTTGTTTTGTGATTTGATTTAAGTTGATTCGATTTCTTTTGGCTATCGTTTTCGGATTCGTGTTGTATTTTGAATTGGTTTTGTTGTTTTGATTTTAAAAAATATTTAAAAGGAATATTTATTTCTTTTAGATATTTTGGATTTGATGTTAAAAAAATATTTAAAAGGAAATTTAATTCCTTTTAGGTATTTTAACGTTTTTTATAAACAGTTTTTTTGTTACTTCATAATGCCTCGCAAACGTAAATCCAGTCTTTCAAGAGTATCTTCTCAAAGACAAGCGAAAAGATTAGCTTGATCGCTAGAATCTTTAGAAGATGCTGAACTGAGAAGGCAAGAAAAATCAGAGCGTCAGGCTGCTTTTAGAGCATTTAAGTACCTTCTCAACGTCAGCAAAGGCGACTTGAACAGACATAGCGTCAGGCTGCTTTAAGAGCTTCCGAAACACCTTCTTAAAGTTAGGAAAGGCGTCTTGAACAGGCAGAGGTCAAGCTTTAAGAGCTTCTGAAACACCTTCTCAAAGTCAGCGAAGGAGTCTTGAACAGGCGGAGCGTCAAGCTACTTTAAGAGCTGCTGAAACATCTGCTCAAAATCAGCAAAGGCGTCTTGAACAGGCAGAGCGTCAAGCTACTTTAAGAGCTACTGAAACACCTGATCAAAGTCAGCAAAGGCGTCTTGAATAGGCAGAGCGTCAATCTACTTTAAGAGCTACTGAAACACCTGCTCAAAATAAGCAAAGGCTATTCGAATAAGCGGAACGTCAGGCCGCCTTAAGAGCCACGGAAACATCTGATGAAACTCAACACAGACACATTGAGCAAGCTGAACGTCAATCTACTATAAGGCCATCTGAAACACCAGAACAGACTCAGGCGCGAAGAGATGCAAATGCACAACTCCAAGCTAAACGTTGACAAAATTTTCAAAAAGAAACAATTGGTCGGTTGTTAATGACGCAGCATCCAATTATGATACGTTGATTGATTATAAAAATCACAGGTTAGTTGTTATCGGACTGATGGACAAGGCTTGTCGATTTTGCAGCGCTTTAAAATGGAAAGATGAGACCGCAGACACGTGCTGTTCCAATGGCAAAGTGTCTCTTCCGTTACTTGGGGAACCAGAAGAACCTTTGAAAACTCTCTTTTTATATGATGCTAATGAGTCACGGTGCTTTTTAAACAGGACCAGGAGTGGACCGGGAAATAATAATGCCGGGATTTTCGCCTACATTTATGGTGCAAGGGCAAATTTATCTTATCATAGAATAGGTTTACTTTTACCAGATCAAAACGAACAGCATAAATATTTACAAGTATATTTTATGGGTGACGAAGAAATTGAGGTAGACCGTCGCTGCCAATTTATCCAGGGAGTTGAGAGAGACACAGTGTTCAAAATTCAAAGATTTTTAATATTTTAGTCAAAACATTAAAAACTGCTTTAGAAAACCTACCTGAACAGGATTATAAAGTCGTCATTCACGCAGATCGGACCCCTCGAGGAGAGCATTAAAGGCACTACAATGCACCTTTGATAAACGAAATAGTAGCCGTAATTAGTGGTGATCAATTTTCTTCACGAGACATTGTCTTGCGAGCACGTGGTGATACCTTGCAACGGGTAGCCGATACACACAAGTTTTATGACGCTCTGCAATACCCATTGATTTATTGCAAAGGACTAGAGGGTTATCATTTTCAAACTCCACTCAATAACCCGGTCACAAAGGATACTCCGAACAAAAAACTATCATGTATGGCTTTTTATGCGTATCATATGATGTTGCAAGAAAATGAGTTTAACCTCTTAGCCCGGTATAGACAATTATTTCATCAATTTTTGGTAGACATGTATGTGAAGGTAGAAAGTGAACGTCTCCGTTATATATCTTTAAATCAAAAAAAGCTGCGCGTTGATAATTATATACATTTACAAGATGCAGTTTCTAGCGACGCCAATGTAAACCCCAGAGATTTAGGTAAAATGTTAATTCTGCCCTCATCATTCGTTAACAGTCCCCGCTACCTACATGAGTACACACAAGAGGCATTCGCCTATGTCCGAACTTACGGAATTGTTACTTTTACTTGCAATCCCAAATGGAAAGAAATAACCAAGGAGCTAATGCCGGGCCAAAAAAGTACTGACAGACACGATTTAGTTGCTAGAGTATTTAGATTAAAAGTACAAAAATTAATGTATGTAATTAACAAAGTGAATTTTCGGAGAGGTGCAGTGCTTCATGTATTCAATTGTATGGCAAAAAAGAGGATTACCGCATGCCGACATTCTAAATTGCCTTAAAGAGAAGTTGCGGCACAGCCAAATAGACGACATAATAAGCGCCGAGATTCCGGATCCAGAGCAAGATAGAGAATTGTATGATACCATCGTCCGAAATATGATACACGGTCCATGTGGAGCACAAAATTCAATATTGCCATGTGTGAAAGAAGGAAAATTTACAAAAAAATTCCCTAAACAGCTATTAAAAGAAACTGCACAATGACAATGGCTACCCTTTATACAGACGCAGAGCTCCCGAAGATGGTGGCAGGAAAGTTACAATCAAATCTCGTTCTGGACCGTTCGAAACGTTAGATAACGAGGCTTCTACTTGAGCTACTTTGCCATATTTTAAATAACTAGCTGTTACCCGCGGATTCGCCCGCATGGTCACTGGGAAATGAACTATCCATTGCTTTTTGAATTGAAAGAAAACTGAGTTTTATAGATTTGTCAGAGATGCAGCCATTAAAAGGAAACACAGCGTATAGGAAAGCATGAAAATAGCCCGTTTATACCAAATGGAAATGGGATATTTTTTAATTAAAGGAAACTGAGCATTATTATTCGTCAGGGTTGCAGACTTTTGAAAAGAAACTGAGCTAAATTGGTTCGTCAGAGATGCAGCTTTCTGAATTGAAAGGAAACTGAGCTTAATAGGTCCGTCAGAGGTGCAGCATTTGGAATTGAAAAGAAACTGAGCTAAATAGGAAATTTTGAACTGAAAGGGAAGATCTGTGGGAATTCTGATTAATTTATTGTGGGAATTTTGGAAAAAAAACTAACTGAAC